CCCTCGGTTGGTCCGAAAGGCCGCCTTCCACTCGTCTCCTTCTTTAATCCGGACGTTATTAAAGCCCCAGCGAACGTCGAGTTTGGTGAAGTAACGGGCGCCCTTAAGCCTGTTGATAAGGTCATTAATCAACGGGAGGGGGTACCGGTTCTTAATCGTCATTGCGTTGAGGGCGCGGTAGTCCTGGACAAACCGAAGTCCTCCGTCCTTTTTCTTAACGAAGAAGACGGGGGAAGCCATCGGAGATTTCGAAGGGCGGATACGGCCTGTGGCAAGTCCCTCCTCGATGAACTCGTCAAGTTCGCGCTGTTCAAGGGGGAGATCGGATACACCTTGCAATTAGCGGGCTTCGCGTCGGGAACGAGTTCGATAGCGTGGTCCCAAGCCCTCCGCTCTGGTAACGTGTCGAAGGACTCCTTGTCAAAGACGTCTTGGAACTCCTTGGCCCAGTCCGGAATCTCCGAAGGCGGGGGGGCCGAGTTACGGGCGAAGGCCTCTGCGAGGCGTTGGGACACGGTGCTCCCAGCACGAATCTCCTCGATTGGGCGGAAGGAGGTGTAGAAGATGCGGTCGCCGTCTTCAAGATGCTCGTCGTCGGCAAGGTCTGGTGAGCCCTCCGGAGGGTCCGAAGGAGCTCCGAGTTCGTCGTCGGCATCGTCTGGGCCAGCGATATCGATAGCGCAAACGGTGGGGAAGGCGCCCGCAAGCAAGCGCGATTTAAGGAGTCGGAGGCGGCGAACCTCAGCGCTCGGTCCGTTCCTCGTCGCGGCAGGTGGAGCAGCTTCGGGGGCAGCGGCTCATTTTCACCTCCTTTGTTTCCCAGTTGATCTCGGGGTTATGCTTTTTGAGCCAGGAGTACCCGAGTATCAAGTCCTGTTTCCCAAGGTGGGTTACAGCCAGCTGAACGCGCGTCGGAGTGTCCGTTGTATCGTAGGACCAGGTCCGCGATTTGGCGAATAGACCCAGCATCATTGGGGGTGCCGTCGACATTGTAGACCGGTATGGGTACTGAGAGATTTCGGACTGGCACGTTGTTTCGGTTGACGTATTCTGTGTCGATAAAGTCCGAAGTGGCTCCGCAGTCGACCAGACCTGAGAGGGAGAGCTTGAGCGCGTTCGCAGTGGACTCAAGCTCAAGAGGAAGGTGGAGCGAGTTAACCCCGGGAGCGGCAGAGATGGTATAGCTGCCAGGTAGCTTTTTCTCCCAGGCAAGTCGGCGAATCCGAACGGGGGCTTCGGAGGGGGCAGGGGGTGCGTCTTTCGTTTCAGGCTCGTTGTAAGGCAAGGGAGTTGATTCATCATACAAACAAGTGAAACGATTTATGGACGCGAACGAGGGCACACCAGTCACTCGTCGGGGGGACAAAATCCTCTGCCGGAGCCTCCGAATGCGCCTCTGCTAAGGCCGCGGTGTCGGACAACCGCGCAAGTAGCTCTCCCAGCATCTCATCGCCAAGTTGCTGGACCACCTCGTCGAGGATGTCCATATGGCGAACATCGGCGGGGAGCGGACAGTCCCGAGCCAAGTGATTGGGGTCGCCGCATCTGAAGCAGGCTCGACGAGGGGCGCCCGAGCCCTAGTACGATCCAACTCCATAGGGACGGGAGCCGGAGGTACCGGGACGGGGCGCGGGCCGCGGGTGGCGCAGGTGCGGCCACCGGGCGGATGGGGAAAGGAGTTGCCGAACGAGTGATGGGGAAGGCGCCGCGGAGCTCCCGGCGGTCCGCGGGGTAGCCGTTCCCTTAATGAGCTTCGCTCGCACCAGGGCCTCATATTGTCGGAAAGCCCGAGTGCGCCAGCCCAGATAGTCACGGAGGTCTGGGGGTCGTTCAAGACGTGATGCCGTTGTTGATCAGGGGGTCAAGTCCGTGGCGGTACTTGGTTACCTTAACCAACGCGTCTTCGAAGCCAGCGAGGTCCATCAAGTCCTCGAAGTCGTCGGTATATCCGTAGACATCCCGCGTTCCCATGTGATAACCCGCGCTTTCCAACTTAGCGAGCGCGAGGTCCTGTTCGTTCTCCTCGACGAACCGAAGGCGAAACTCGGAGAGGAACTGGCTCCACCGAGGGAAGGGGAAGGGGTTTTTGCTCCCATGACGCTCTGCCCATTGCTGAGCAGGTCCCTCCGCCATATAGGACATGGCGTAGCGGACGGCCTTTTCTTCGCTCGGCTCTCCGTTAACTACGAAGGCCTCCGGGGCAAGCCGAGCGTAGGTTTTGACCGCGTATAGGAAGGCGCGGCCGCGTTTGCGATCTCCGTTAAACGCAAACGGGGGGTTTGGTCGTAAGACCAGTTTTGAGGCGACAGTAATGTCACCAAATAACGCATCCGCGTCGGGGGCATTCGGAGATGCCGAAGGCGGTTCGGGAGCTGCCGGAGGTGGTGCGGCAGCGGAAGCCTGGGAAGCAAGGTGGGTGAGGAGATTGGTGAGGTTGTCTAGTTTTGCCTCAAGTGCGTCCATGCGCGCGTCAGCGTCCGGAGCAGCTCCGGTAGACATAGCGGGCGTAAAGACGACAAGAGCAGAGGAGGAGGGGTCAAGTGGCAGGGGCGGTGACGAGGGGGGTACGGACTCGTACTCCGAGCCTGAGTCAGCACCAAACCTGGCAATCTTGACCGGTTAATCCCGTAGAGAGTTTCTTCTGCTGTAAGGGCAACCCTGGAGACTCCGACGAAAGCCTAGCAGGGGAGGATCCAAAGGCGTGAATAAAAGCTACGGAAATACACGGAGGGACCGACCTAGCAGGGGAGGATCCAAAGAGAAGAAACTCTAAGGGTCCGCCTGCTAGGGCGCCAACTATATACTGGTTGTCCGTAACTGCCGACGTAGAGCGCAGAAGGCCTGAGCGGCGTCGCAGGCTCTGTCCCAAGGTGATCGTTGGGAGGGTCTTGACGGATCGGTGATTGTGCGGGCGAAGGAGGCCGTGGACGATGGTCGGGGTGGGTCGGAGCGTCCGAGGGGGCGCCGGTCGGATGCGCCTCGGATGCGTTCGGAGGGTCCGAAGGAGGCCGAAGCGGGGGTTCCCCTGACAAATCTTTGTTAAGTTCTTTTCTAAGATGAACCAGAGTCAGCCTTGATCATTTTTGCTGACATTTCCAAAGTTCATAAGTACAAATATTTCAGTAGTCAAAAGGCTGTTTCATGAGCATGATAGTCTGCATATTTACTAATATAGAATGATTGAAAGGCATCTAATGAGTCAGATGCATCAAAGTTGTCCTCTGGCACAAAGCCTTGCCCAAAGACTGGTATCAAATGTGCTGCCCTGTAAATTGCATCAATGTGAATGACAGCAAGGTCTGCTTCCCGCCTTCGGTGACGATCAGGAGTCACGATCCACATGCCAGTGTCTTCATCAGGTTCATCCCCATATAGTGAAAACCAATGCACTAGAGCACATGGATACAATGTGTCATGGTGTTTGAATTGGAAAAAAAGAAGAACCTGACCAATGTGGAATCCGAGCATCCCAGGAGCATCCCGGTCATGGACCACAAATGCGCAATCATAGCGTGGTGGACCTTTGAACCATGATCGTGCAGAGCGAATCCGCTCCCGTCGCATTCCACCGATTCCGCATATATCACTTGGAGCATAGAAGATGGATTGGGCGGAGTTGTAGGTGTAAATCTTGCCATCAATTGATGGTAGATCACTGGCATCAACCTCCCCATCATAGTCAGGATAGAGCTGGCCAAACAGGAAGTGCTGAACTAGTTCAGGAAAACGTGGTTGGCCAAGGTAGCTGGCCAACCCTGCCAAATCCCGAGGAACACGTCGAACTGACATAATTATAAAAACCGCTAAACTCTAAAGAGAGAGCTTACTGTAGCGCTTTGCCAACTTGACCTCCCCATCAAATCGAGGACCCTCCACTACTTCATCATCATCTAGGTCAGGCAGAGCTTCCCTGACAGGATTATTGGCCGCCAGGTCAAGAGGAGGTAGAAGGGGGATCAACGCGCCAGCAAGTCACATACTCCCATCGAAAGGTATGCTTCATTTCTGTGTCGTAGCATCTGCTGATCATTAACGAGGGACTTATGCTAAATCCCCTCATCTTGCAGACGCTTGCAGCGTATTGTAAGCTTAGCAAGTATGACGATGGCGGAATAGGGCCCCGGGAAGATATTCCTGGTATCGAAGGGGAAGGATTGTTTCCAGGTGGGGCATTGGCGATGTCTCTGCAGGCGGTGAGCTCCTCAGTGGTGGCTTGCATCTGCTAACTGTGTCTCAGATACAACGTGCGCTCTCACTTTATGTGACGGGCAAGCGAATTCCTCCCCTTGGCTCTCGCCAAAATAACGGCCTACCGAAATTCGACAAGGAGACATGGGGCGACCGGGTGGTGAGGGGGGTCATGCAGGGCATTAGTCGGATTCATGCCGTGGTGGATCTGCTTACACCAGCGCATTGGGCGGACATCTTGGAGGGGGCACAGAGCGCAGCGGTGACTTCTCGCTCCCGCAAAGTCGCCGAGGCAGAACCTGAAGGAACGCAGGATGTGGAGATGAGTCTCGCCCCGATTGGCCTGGTCGAGGATGATGACTCTGATGATGAGGGTGAAGTCGCACAAGCCAGGTCGTCATCGTAAATCTAGTCTACTATGAATACAATTATGCTTTCTGTCAATTTCAATGGGTCTCTTTGAGTGCTTATGGGGTCTTTTGTCTGTCTTATTTGCATCTTAGAACAACTTATCTTTGGTCTTAGAACAACTTATTCTCCGTCTTAGAACAACTTATTCATCTTATTTGACTTACATTAGAATTGGACCTAGCTAACATAAGACCCATAAGATCTTATGAGTCTTATGCATCTTATGATGTCTTATTGAAACTTATTTGTCTTTTATAAGTGGAATAAGTTGCATTAGACCTTTTGACATTTTCCTGATGAACTTCAATTCAACATAATTTGTGAGACATTTGTACAAACACGGATCACGATTCACAGTAACATTTGGCACGATATTCTATCAATCTGGGGAGTCTAAGGTTTCACGCCAGTCCGAAGTCGGCCTTGTATCCGTTGTCATCGTAGTCTTTGCAGCGCCATGAAATGTTGTGGCGTCGACCGGTGGCAGCCTGATCAACTTCATCTGGAAACTGAAAATTGATTTCCATCTCATAAAGGGCTGCCTGATAATGGGGTCAGCCGAGTAGCACGATAATAAGTAATGCCTACAATTCCAAGCATTTCAACCTGTTCATCGGGGCTGACTTCGGGGTCGTAGAGCATAGATTTGTACTGAATACTCCCAATGTCGTATATCTCTTGGAGGGTGTCATCCAAAGAGCTGTTGCTCGCGTCGCGGGAGAGAGTTGATACAGTTATGACACTCTCCTCCTTATCTCCCAACGCGACTTTGATTTTTGGGAGGGTCGGTGCTCTTCTGGTCTTCCGGATGAGCCAGTACTTAGATGCCGGGTCATAATGAGCATCTATACCAAATTTCTCATAGTAGTCTTTGACAACAGGGTCGTCGAGACAGACATAGAAGGTCCCTTGAAACAATTGGTTCAAGTGGAGATATTGCCCCAGACTGAGACGCACCACTATCGATACATATGTTGCTGCCGGGAGTGTCGATACGACGGCCATCGATCAATTTGAAAGGGCTCTGAACTACCCAATGCGCATCCCCTTGAACTGGAATGTTGCTATGCCAGCGATGATTATTACGGCTTGTGTTAAGCCCTTGCGGCATTTCGCCGAACACCAGCGATCTAGTCCAAGTTATCAGTCGATCAACGATGGTATGCATACATACCCTTCGTCCGGTGTCAGATAAAGGGTCATTTCGGGTTTATTCTGTGCACTGTGAGTACAAGTTTGTATGCGGTCACCTGTGGACTCGCCAGATAGGGCCGGACATGAAACAAAAAAGTCTGTGGATCTGTAAGATAGGGGCAGTGCAGTTTTCGGAGGCCTACATTGCCCTTTTCCCTGTGATGTTTCATCCTAGAGCCAGATTTGCTGGTCAAGTTTAAATTCATGGTGTCATGGTCATACGCACCGTCTTCCCAGGCCTATGATACCGGCGTATGGGGAATCATCGAAAAAATGTGGGTCAACCTCGTTGGCTACACCTATCGTGACGGGAATATACAGCATAGAAGATGCATTCGGAGACTGGTTCCGTCCAAGCGGAACCATAAGACGGTCCGCGTATTCATGGAACTCTAATGCACATGTCAGATCGCGTAAGGAATGCAGAAGAGCAAATGGCCAAGGTAATACCTGCTGAAGATTTGTCGAAATAGACCACCGAATAAGGTTTAGTGCCGCGGGTGACCTTTACATGACGCGGTCCAAGGAGGAACCCGAAAGCAGTGAGACCCCGGTGCATGGCGCCGAGTGTTGTAGTCTTCCGCATACACGCGTCGGAGGCGGACCAGCTGCGCATATCAGAATTTATCTCTCCTTGGATAAGAAGCCTCGTACAATGCATTGGAACCTACACGCAATAAGCCTCAATTGAGAATGAAATCGATCGCGCTCACCCAGATCAGCTTCGAACCTGACGGTATTGTCCTGGCTTCCGCCATCCGGGCCGAACTGCTGCATTGTGGGTCAGCTCAGGCCAATTTGACGAGCGATGGCTACGTACAAGCATCGTATATGGATGGCCCGCTAGTTGGCACATATCCGAGTCAGCAGGATGTTCGTTCACTGTTCTGCAAAGGCCTACTCACCGTCAACATGGATGCCGAGCGTCTCCTTCATCACCTCTCTGTTCTGGGGGGTACGATCATGGGGAGGCACAGGAAATTCTCTACTAGATCGCGAGCGGAACCCGGTCTTCCATTCGGGTATCGTAGGGGCAGAATGCTTCGGGTCCTTGAACGATGGACCGGCAGCCTGAACGTCAACCTTCACGTCGAGCGTGCCTTGAGACTGGACAGATTCTGTCGAAGCCTGGGTAAGATGCATGGCGCCCAAGGCATCGACTGCGTCAGCTTGCTGGACATCATCGTAGGCCTCAAGGAAGTCTTTGGCTTTGACACGCATCCGGGACACCTAGGGCAGTCAGTCGGCCAGGCGCACATATGTTCCAGCACAAACCACGCACCTCGGCAACAAGATCGACATATCGTTCCGAATCGGTCTTCAGCTCCAGCGAAAACCAGTGTTTCTTCAGCTGGGCGTCGTTGGGTTTCAGGTTGCTAGTTGCTGGTACGCTTTCGGCGGTAGCTTACATCTTGCTGGAGTTTGGTGAGTGGTAAGAACGATAGAGAAGGCTGAAAATGCCCCTCAGTATTTATACCGCGCGGAATCCGATCATCAGCAAAAAACGGAGAACCAGTCAAGGGCTTACCTGGTCTTGAAAACGGCAAAATCGACAAAATCGACCGCAAGATCCCGCCGGGCTGTCGGAGCGTCAACGGGCCTTAAAAACGACCTTCAAATTGTAGGCGCGGGAAATGATCAGTTCGACTCACACGGCCAACATTAGTTGCGCGCAATCACGAACGCTTCAATTGTCCAGCCTGCAGGCAGATCCACACGTCGTGTGCAGAACAACAAACACGTTTCCCAAGGGGCACAAGGGTAATGAATTGAAATTTTGACACCGCATCGAAACAACTGCTACCTTATTGTCAGTTTGAATAAGACCACAATAAGCACAGCCCGTGAATTGGAAATATCCGAGGTGACGAGAGGTGACGCGTACCAGGGCCCAGTGGTCAATCAAGGTGGGGGCGCAAGAGTGTACGCGTGGCAGTCACACAAATGACAGCACTTCTAATTGATGGAAGTCACATTAGTCAGCGTCCACACTCTTCTCAGCAACCGCCATCTTCCAGAATCCAAACACGATGGTCCCTCGAAGAACTCCCCGGCTTTCGCTCGCGGATCTCCCCGACGAGCTCATTCACTCCATACTCGATCAATTGCTTGCGGAAGTCTACCCATTTGCGCCCCATAGCGGCCTTGAAGACTGCCGTCGCGAATGCGGTCTGTCGCTGGCAAGCACCTCTCGCACCCTTCGTGCATGCTGCCTTCCTTGGCTCTTCAAGCGAGCTTACAACTGGCGTCGACAGGGACGTGGAGTATGGCCCACTGGTCTCTGGTGCTACTTCGTGTATGTACTAAAGCTCCCTTACAAAACAGCGCGAGCTGAGCGTCCTGATAGCGAGCTTCATCTTCGCAGCTACTCGATTCGAAATCCCATGCTTATCCCAACATCCTTGGAAGACTTGGGGTTTGCTCTGTGCCATATGTCGAAGCTTACCCACCTTATCATATCGTTGGAGTCAGCCATCACTTCGGAATTTCTCCAGCGAATTGCCACCGTGTCAACGCTCTCTATCCTCGAGTTTCATGGGACTCCTTGGCATGAAATCACGGCACGGGCAAGCTCCTTCGCGAATATCTCAACTCTGGTAGTTCGCATAGCAGGGCCGCACGGGGCGTATCGGCTAGCACAAGAGCCAGGCGTGGCCGCCGAACAAGTCATCATTCATGAGGTGCTTTTAGCACCGCTTGCTCCCCTTCTTGCGGAATCTGACTATCTCTGGTGACTTTCTGACACCGCAGTTTGCCGAATTAATCTGGAAGAGATTGACGCATCTTACCATTACCGATCATCGCCCCTCATTCTCCTTATCTGCTTTCCTTCTCTGTGTGCCTCTGGTGACGACTCTGGGGCTGTGTTTTACCTTGAACCATAGCCTCGATAATCCCCCCGACTCCACCACATTAGGAGAGCTGTCGGAGCCGGCCTTGCGATTTCTCGGAGGCTTATCGTCGCTCACCTTATCCAATTTGAACCCCAATCAAGCGGGCCGCATTCTTGCATCTCTGCATTCATTACGGTCGCTGTCCCTTCTCACTCTACGCGACGGCTATACAAGTCAGAACGAACGGGTCTCGTGGTTTTCCCCCGTCCACCATCCCGACATCTTTTGCCTTGTTGGCCCTGAGGCAATTCAACTGCTCAGCCAGCTGCCCAACCTCACTAAGCTTCATCACCTCGGAATCACGCTCTATGAGACCGGCTTGACGCCCGACTTGCAACAGTTTTTGAATCAGAATACTCCGGGACTGAGTTCGTTGCAACTTCGAGTCAAACCAAGACTCGGGTCTGGACATCTATTTATTGATTTCGAGAGGGTGAGTGGCCCAAGTTTGTGTGTACCGAAAGCGTTTATCTTACGATGTCCATTTCAGACGCGCCTTCTGCAAAACCTTGCTCATCTGCGTAACTTAACTGTTCTGACGATCATTTTGGAGTACAATCTCATTGAAGCCAATCCGGGTCCTCCTGCACACTCCGCCTTCCAAATTTTCCGCGAAGTACCTTCCCTGCAGACCGTAATCTACAAATTTGCTGGATGTTTTGACCCCAGTACATTGGATCCTATTGTCCATACGTGGCATAGGGAGATGCTCAAACACCCGCGCCCGCCAAGGGTAATCAAGGAGTTTCGGTACCCTCCAACTCGGAGACGTTAGGCAGCCGGTCTACTAGAGATTGGAAACTGTACCGTGACCTCATGTCAGCTATAGCTACCAGTACGAATCCATTGATTATGGTCCCATCATATCATGGAATCCAGCACTTACCAACTTCCGTCCGGTCTGAAGCTCATCTTCTCATGGGGAGAAGAGACGCCTGGGCCCTGTCTGGCTTGCACACGTTGAGGGTCCAGATCCTCAATCTCGGTGATCATTTGGACAACAGTCGATAGCATGTGGCCCATGGCGTTCTTGTCAGCGAAGAAATGGAAGGTGTCGAGCGTTAGTCCACCGAGACAACAAGCGCTTCCCCGCCGCCATGCGAAGTTGTGGCAAGAGCTGTGGGTCCCGATCCTTCTCCCCGATCTATTGTTGTCCATCGTTGTCTAAATAAACGGACGGAGATCGCTCGAGAAGCCGATGAGGGGCGTGGCCAGACAGACCCAGGGATTCGGATCGATTTGTGGGTGCGTGCCAAGCGGTGCTTGTACTTGCCATTTTCGTCCATCTGTTGTTGTTTTCGGACGGCGATAATTACGAATAACTGACCTCAAGGACAAGGCCGCGCCTCGTGTCTGCAGGGTCAGCTTCACAGCTTCATTCAAACGTCAAACTCAACCGTTGTTGCTTGTGGGAGTCAACAGTCAATTAGCACCCTCGAATCAGACTCCGTGGGCTTCCTGAGCGTTATTTGTTCCCTGCCTCTATTCGTAAGCGACTGCGGCGGAAGAGTTATCGACGAACCTGAGCTCCACCCTGACGTTGGCAGCTCATAAACGAGATAAACAACCAAATGAGTGAATCGGATCTTTCCGATTCGATGCCGCGAGTGGACACACAACTCTTGAGAGGATACAAATGATCGTATTGCCCTCGAATTTACAAGAGTCGCTGCTCAAACGTTCACCCACAACTGCGAATTGCCTCTTCCTTTCGAAACTATCAACCCAGACCTGTTCGCGAATGACAAACGAGACTCACACCACTTCAACGCATGCGAGCCCCAATCGGTGCAGTTGGCTGCGTCCCGAGCAGCCCGACGTCCATATCGCCGACGACAAGTCGGCCGTCTCGTGGGTAGTCTCAGCACCGCTCGTCGAGTCGAAAGGCATGCACCTCAACACAAGGAAAGACTCTGGCTCCAGCGCAGGGCCGTCCTCTTCACCTAGTATCGATAGCGGTGAGATGATATTCGTGGCGTCCACACATGGCTAGTCGAGCTGACCAGCGCAATCACAGGGAGCGACATGGCCTACAAAAACGACGATCTGCTGCGCGACCTCTTTGAGTATGACTCGACTGAGACAACGATGGACGAAGAAACGGGAGTAGGTCCAGGCTGTTCCGCGTCAGCACTCAAACAGCATTATGTTGTCACTCACAGGTTCACAGTGACACCGTCCGCCCAATCGTTGTGCGACGGCGCGAGACGGACTCAGGGGGCGGCTGGAACGTCATGTCTGCGACGACTTGCTGCCACGTCATCAGTCAGGGAAGAGGAGAAAAAAAAGAATGGCGCACCTCTACGGCAGAGCTGTTGAACGTCCTACAGTCTGCACAGAGGCCCCGTCAGCGGGGGGTAGATGCCCTTGGTGCTGTTGTTCACCAGGCGGGTACGCGCTCTGGTTTGGATTCGGCCCCATCGGGTGATTCGCGAAACTGAATGTGCCGCCGCCCACGTTAGAGGCAGGAGCGCCAAGAATGCCGCCAGCGTTGTTAAGGCGGCGGGCGCGCCGACGGCGCGTGACGCAGAGGCAGGCAAAGAGGAGGAGGACAACGAGGACGGCTGCTGCATGCATATGTGAGACTTCAAGTTGTTTAGAAAGTGTGAACAAACACGACGCACCCAGGACCGCACCCACGATTCTGGCTGCCCCGCTCCCTGTCCTCCGGCCCGGTGATGGACTACCGCGGCGCCGGCGTATGCAGCTACCAGCGGAAGGCGGAAAGAAAGGCGTTCGCGTTCATGCGGCGTGGTGGTCAAGTCCAAGAAAAACTTCCGGAGGCTGTGTGGGAACCCGCCTCGGCCCCGCATGCCGGATCTTTATCACTGCTTCTTTTTTATCAACCACCACCACTCCGCTGCTTGTTGCAGCCCTCTCTGTCGTGCGTCTCAAGTGCCAGCCGGACATGTACTCAACTCGAAGCGTGCAGCAGAGTTCCGCGGCAGCCACTCCCGGGCTCGAGCTCGCTGTTGGCCGCACTGGGATTCTCTGGGGCCACGCCCGGGCCGGCGTCCGTCTTGCGCGCGTTCCGATAGTGAGGCTCTCGGCGCCGCCCACCTCCTGCATGTCTTGCGCGGAGCAACATAGCCGTCGCCCGGTCCCCTGATGTTGCTCAATGCTTCCACGCGGGCTGATTCCACCCCACGCTTGCAGAAGACGCTCTCGTGGGTCCATTTCGTCTCTCGGTGTGCTCGGCAACGCAAGGTGCGTGTTTTGCCATGTTTCTTTGTGCTTTCTTGCTGACTTACCGAAAGCGCACCCAGCACCCGGTACCCCGACGCGATCCACACTCTCCATTCCCGCCATTTCCAACTGCTCCCCGCCGATTCTGGGCTTATATCCCGCAGAAATTGGCCCTAGTGCGCGATCCGAACGCAGATCGCCGCGAAACTTGACCTCGTCAATAAACTGCCCCTTCGTAGCGATCCACGGGCCGGATGCCCGGAAACCGCCCTCGGCCACGTTGAGGAAGGTGCGGGGACTTGTCCCAGCGTAAGTATTCGGCGCATCCCAGGCCTCCGCTAGCCTGAGGCCCACCCTGGGCCGCGTTCTCCCCGAAACTCGACAGCGCTGGGCGGCCCAGGCACTGAGCCCGTCTGTGAGTTCATTCCCATGAAAGCAATCTCACCGCGCTGATTCAATCGTTTCGCCGTCAGATTTGACGCCGATCGCAATCACGCTGGTGGCCACTTGCATGTGCGTTGCACGAGCTGTCGCCAGTTCGCGCGCCGAACAGCCGTCGCAGCGCCGTTACGACGCAAGGATGTCGGGTTAGGCCTAATTGCACAAGGTCGGTGAGGCTCAATTCCGGTCCGTTCGGGCTAAATTTCTCAGCACAGGCCGAGCGAACGTGGCCGTCTAGCCGCTGACGTTTTCAAGAGAGGCGGGCCAACGGCTGGCCCTGCGCTCGCAGATCTCTGCTGTCACCTCAGGCTACCCCTACCTGGTACCTGTTAGGCTTAATCGGAACCACGGAACCCTGGGCCTAAGAGGTACCAAATGCATGGTATCACCCATGGGGGTGGTACTATCCACAAATTGTGGATGGTACCATGGGTGTCACACAACCCATGACCATGGTGCCATCCATGCGGCCTTGGGTGCATCCATGGCTGTGTGGATGGCACCATGGTGCTTTGCCTGCCATGCTCTTGCCTTGGCTTTTGGGTTGTCAGCTTAGCACTAGAAAAATGAGATATTTTTGCTCTTCAAGACAGGCCAAGTCTCATGAGATTTGCTGGGCAGACTATGGAGTTTTGAATATTTTTTCATTTTTCTGGCTTTTCATTAGTTGGCAGTTCAGGCATGATAGATGGGCAGTAGGCAGCCTAGAGTACATGGAAAGTGATGTACAGTATGTGTGGAGTATGGACTACATGCCCCCCAACCAGTTGGCCATGCTCTCACCCCTTGGACTTTGCAGAGTATTGGGCGCTGGGGAGCCGATCGGCCATCACTGATGGCATCAAGCCGACCGGCATGTTCGATTTGGATGCATCCATGCTGCCAGGCAGATGGGGCCATGGATGCATCCATGGCTGGGCTTGATACCATGCATGGATGCATCCATGGGTGGTATTGTCCCAGCATGGATGCATCCATGGGTGGTATCAATACCACTGTGGTCGCATCCATCTGGTCGCGTGGATCGTACCACGGTCACGGGGTGGACGCAACCACGGTCACGCGTGGGTGCATCCACGCGCCTTGGGAGCATCCATGCATGGGACGCGTGGTATCACCCACGAGTCGGCATGGACGCATCCATGGGCGCATGGATGGATGGTACCACGCGCTCCCTCCCGACGTGCATGGATGCTACCACAGGCGCGTGGTAGCATCCATGCCCGCCTTCCCGCCCTGTGGTACCATCCACTGGCCCCGCCCTCCCGCCATGGTACCATCCATGCCCGCCCTCCCGCCTCCATAGTACCATCCATGCCCGCCCTCCCGCCTCCATGGATGCATCCATGATCCGCTCTGCGGTCACATGCATCGCGTCGCGTCGCGTCCGTGTCTGGCTTGGCCCATCGTAAAGGCCTGCATGCACACGGCCATCAACGCATCGCGCGGGCATGTCTAGCTTTGGTCATCACACATATTCTTCTCAGCACATTGAACTTAAGTCGTTGGCCTCGGCAGACGCGGTCACGTGACCTATCAAACACACGCTAAAAAAAAAAAGCAGGTGCGTCTGGCTTAGTGAATCCCTGTTGAACGCTACAAGAATACATCGTCCATATCATCCACATCATCTTCACCATCATTCTCCTCCTCATGTACCCGATTATCTGCCACTTCTAATGTGCTCAAGATTGGGATCAACATTGGATCGTCATCCTCGCCCTCTTCTCCTTCGCTCCACACGTCTGATAAGTTATCCTCCTCGGTGTCCCTCCATGCCGGGAAGCTCCGTAGAACCCGGGCCTCCGAAATTGATTGCTGAGGTGCCGACAGCCGCGCGGCACCCGGAGGTGGCGATAAACTGGTGAGCGCGTCTCCCCAGACGACATGGAGGTTCAAAACCTTCTCGCGTCGGCGTTCGAGTTGGTATTTGAGGGGTGGATCATCGCAGCTGGCGAGGGCCGTTTTGACAGCGCGCCATTCGACCTCCAGATGGGCCAACAGATGGCCATGCTCCCGCCGTAGGCGATGAAGCTCTTCCACGGAACGCTGCTTTTGCAGCATCGCTCGGATCGAAGCACGGAGCTCCGCATCAAGCAACGCGCGAGGCACATCACCCTCGGCATCATCAAGCCCCACATCGAGCCA